CATTGCAAACACTACGCCACGGCGATGGCGCCTGCATCTGCTCTTCATCGTCACCAATCATCTCTCGAAAGCATCATTGATTTCTCTGCACAGCCTCCCTTAGGACCTGGTCTACGCCTCTCAGCCAGCCGTCGATTCTACCAGATAGTCAATCATTTCGATGCTTCTGGCAGCGGCAACAACGGTGAATACGACCGTATAAAACTTGTCCGCCTCACCTACGAATATGCGCGATCTGAAGAATCCAAGGGCAAGTTCCTGAGTGCGTTCTTCCAGTCGGCGGCTCTTCCCATGGATGGGGAGGAGGCCATCGATTTGGGCGATGCAGACCTGGAGGCCGAGCTCCGCACTTCCCTGTTCAACTTCGCCGAGTATCTGTTTGACAATTTCTTTTTGCCATGTATGGTCTTCTGACTTTTCTTCGTCTGCCGTTTATCTCTAACCATCTTTGCTCTCACAGTGAAGGCTTCTACTAAGAAGACTCCCCAACCTTCGCCTGCAACCCATTCCGCAGTCCAAAGAACCCAGTCAGAAGGGCAAAATTTTGCCGGAACGCCAGAACGGGTGTCAGCTCTCCGCGGTGCCTGTCTGGTCCGCGATCGCCATCGTTGCGTCATATCGCGCCGGTTTGACCAGAACGAGGCATTTAAACGCATGAGCAGATATGGTGATGAGGCTCGGGACGACGATGGAATCTCTCTTGCAGGGGAAGCTTTTGACGCTCTCGAGGTGGCACATATCCTGCCACATTCACTTACACAGGTCAACGCAAGCTTACAATTAGTATGAACTCTCACTTGACTAAACTCCCTCCTTGCTAAGTACTTTCCTCTAGGACCCTTCCAAGGAAGCTGCACTAGCGATTCTCAATATGTTCGACAGCGGTGCTGCATTCCTAGTTGAAGGCACCGATATTGATCGACCTCGCAATGCCATGACCCTAACACATAGCCTACATATGTGGTTCGGCGACTTCCGAATCTTTTTCGAGTCCATTGACCAGCAAGCACATACCTATCGAATCAACACCTTCCTCCCACCGGGGCTCTTGGGGGGCCTCCTCCCTGTCACTCGAACACTCCATCTCACAGAAACCCGAAGTATAGACCCTCCTTCGCCTCGCCTACTCGCCATCCACAGTGCGATTGCCCATATTCTGCACCTCTCTGCAGCAGGGGACTACATCGATAAAATGCTGCAAGATATGGAGGAAAATGGCGTTCGGGAGGATGGTTCTACTGAGCTGGATCGTTTGGTAAAGCTTCGACTGAATGGATGGTCAGTCAGCGAAGTCAGTGGCTAGACTCAAGGGTTAAGCTATAACACCTTTAGTCTCCCCTACATCCTTATTGTCCGTCCCATTTTCACTGCAACTGGAAATTCTACATCTCTGATTGACTTACACCCCTATTCCTGTATCCTCTTCGCAGTCTACCCAACCGATGAACTTAGAGTTTATCGCTTTCAGGGATTACTCTTTCCCCCAATCAAAAATCATAAAATTACTACAGCTAGATAGAGACGAATACCAGAACGAGAATAATAGGTGAAGTCTGGTAAAAATAGGTTAGCCTACTTACTTAGCAGGGAACTAGCTAGTATTCTTAAGAAATAAGCACTATGGGAGACATCGGATATTAGGCTGGAATTGAACATCGAAGGTATTAAGATTGATTATTATCCTCTCCCCTCCCTTCCCTGGCATGTTTCCAGGTTTTCGCTGAAATGAACGGGATTTTATCCGGTTTCATATAATTA